GTGACTATGCTCATGTCCAGGTTATAATCTTCTTGTGCCATTGCAACAAGTTCAGCATGTGTTGAATCTTCATTCAATAAAAACAATCTTGCTCCTTTGAGATCATCAACCACAAAATCCCAACGGCAATCTTTCAACAACCATTCTCCATACACTGCATGTAACTGACGAATCATCTCCAAAAATTAAAAATAAAACACATTAGTAAACATAGAGAATTTCATGAAAGCTTACTAAACATTGATGCAGACGACATACCAATAAGTCGTCTGGACGACTTACCCGTAAGTCGTCCAATGAGGTCATTTTTGAAATTGAAATTTAAATGAGACGACTTAATTTTAAGTCGTCCAGCTTTGTTTGTTAAAAAGAAAAACCAAACGACTTATAATTAAGTCTCCCAGGTTAAAAGGGCTACTTTTGCATTTGACCGAATTGTGTCAGATATTTGACTTTTTCTGGACGACTTACAATTAAGTCGTCTCTGGAAAAGTTAAAATATCAATATTTTATTAAATCTAGACGACTTACGGATAAGTCGTCTCAGGTTAGTTTTGCAATTCAAAAATAAAACATAAATTTTTAACTTCTCCCAGACGACTTAATTGAAAGTCGTCCAGGATAAGCAAGGTTTGACCAGAAAACTCAGAAAATATTCTGGACGACTTTGCTTATCCTAGACGACTTTAACATAAGTCGTCTGATCGGACGACTTTCAGTTAAGTCGTCTGGGAGAAGTTAAAATTTTAAGTTCTATTTTGGAATTGCAAAACTAACCTAACGCGACTTATCCGTAATTCGTCTAGATTTAATAAAATATTGAAATTTTAACTTTCCCAAAGACGACTTAATTGTAAGTCATCCAGAAAAAGACAAATATCTGACACAATTCGGTCAAATGCAAAAGTAGTCCGTTTTACCTGGACGACTTAATTATAAGTCGTTTGGTGTTTTTTTTAACAAACAAAGCTGGACGACTTAGAAGTAAGTCGTCCGTTTGACCAGAAGACTTATCCGTAAATCTTCTACATCCAGATGACTTACGGGTAAGTCTTCTACGCGAACAGATCTGGAAAAAAATTCAATTTCATACCTTAAACTATGTGAGATGACTTCCTTTGCACACAGAGTCTTCTCCAACCACCCAGAACCTCAAACGAAAGTAACCCACCAAGAATTTTATGCTTAAATGGCTCTATCAACCATAAAAATTTTGCTATCAAAAGCTTGGGTTTTTGTATGAATATGGAGACAAAGTGAAGTAGATGCTGTTTTTAGTTCATAACAATTGAGAAAGAGAGTATTAGTATCGATTTTAAGTGCATTAAAAGCTTCAAACCTTGGTTGTACAAGGTTGTTGGGTTGTACAAGGTTGTTGGGAGTATTCATGGCAATGACAATGTTCTAAATACTTGAAGATGATGAGGTTGAGAGAGTAAAAATGCCATTTTCGAAAAAAATTACAAAAAAAGTTTAAAAAAAAATTAATGGCATTTTCGTAAATAAAATGAAGATGTGGTGTGAATGAGACAAAAACAAGATGAGTCAAAAGAAGAAATTAGTTTTGTGTTTGACTTTGAATTTTGAGTTAATTTTGTAAAAAACCCTTCTTCTAAACTATTTTGACTATAAAAAATTATTTAAAAGAAGCTATTAGAAGAACATATCCAGAGAAATCATTATACCAAATATAAAAAAAGTTGTTTGATTGAAGAATTCTTCTCTTCATGAAATTAGTAGATTAGTTGATCTATGTTCATGTTGTAAATTCTAATGATTAACCCCCACATCAATATTTTTACCACAGAGTGGAGTGCAATAGGTCACGTTATTTTTGTTTATTACATAATTTTCTAACAAAAAAAAAGGTAATTTGCTAACATTTGGGTTAGTTCTTGTAATTACTTCTGTTTGCCGGAATGGTTTTGAGAGCATAATGTATTTGGAAACCTGAGTTACTTCTGTTTCTTGGCAAAGTTTTTTAAAAATAATTATATTTATGCCTTCGTATATGTGTACCACCGCATCTCAAACGTATAAGAACTTGTGTCTTCCCCGAAGGTTTTATACAATAGTCCTTTGATGCAAGCACTCACATGGGGAAACTTCTCTTGATTGTGAACATTTTTTTGTGTGTTTGTCTTGCAATACAGAGTCACATCACTGCTTATAAAGGTATACAATATTGGTAAGCAATGTGCTTAATAGACAGTGATGCATCATGCTTTGTGAAGGCCAAATCTTAGACGTAGCAAAAATTCTAAAGGCTAGTTTACTCCATTTTCAGGAATGGCGGAGGCAACACCCATGGCGCAAGCATCATGTGATTGCAAGAACATTTTCATTGCAACGAGGTAAAAGGGTCTCATTGTGGAACCAGAGGACATAGGATTAGCAATAGGGGCAACAAGCTTTATGGATTTTGAAGAAGGCCAAAACTTTAGCATCAGTAACTGTGATGAGTTTCATGCTCGCTGGTAGTTACTTCGTGAAGGTAAATTATATACATCTTCATATTCTTTTTTTTTTGTCAAAGTCAAGATCTTTCTAGTTCATTTTGAACGATTTCAATATTGCAAACAAATATTTTGTTGGACAAGATAATACAATATTGTTCTTACTCAACTTTCTCCACGTAAAGGTTCTAAAATTCTACTTACAGTGAGATGTTTAACTCTAATTTCGATCCATCTACAGTTTCAGATAAGCAAATTGTGAGACTTATCACCTAACATACATACGAGTTTTGCAACTCCAGTTCCTTGATTAATACTGTCTTTGTCTTTGACAGAAACTTACCGCTTTTTATTGTTTGGTTAGTTACATCACGTGTTATGTCATTCAACTACCACACATACAAGCTCCTTGTCAAGGTTCAATATGAACAAATCATGTAGGACGTAAACAGAGAGGAAGGCCTTAAGCAAGTGCGCTTTGTAGCTATGATTTATTTCTCTTCATGATGAAACTCCACACCCCAACTTAATTTTAAGTCGTTACCCAAAAAGGTATTTATAATTTGTTCACTTTGTAAGTTTGTTTTATATATATTTTCACTTATTTCAGAGTTTATTAGAGAGAAAAAAAACAAAATAACTATGAAGATTTAGTTTCTCACACATTAGAGTCTTTCGCTACAGGTTATATATTTTTTTGTTCTTGATCTAATCTAATTGCTGTTAATATTCTCTCAACAATATTGAAACTCTTCAATATATTAGCCTCCATGCCAGTTCACAGAACATTATTATATTGTAATCATGGAGTGGCTGCGTACAATCTCTTAGCCTTTTTCTCTCTCCGAAGGATGAAGCTCCATACTCCAACATTAATTTAGATACACAAGACATTTATAACTTGTCTAGTTATCACTATCGTTTTTTGTATATATTGTCCAATATTTATTTTGTAAATTAAGTTTTCCTTTGTTTATATATTTCCACTTATTTCGAATGCATAACCAAACAACTTAATATAATTAATGTTCCAAACATATGATGTTCTCAATGTCATCCCATAAGGTTAACTGCAACCAAAATTTTCTACACTTTATCTCAACCCTGTCAAGTAATGGCTTTATTTCAATACTTTGAGCGATCTCATCTCTCTCAGAATCATAAATGAAAATGTGTATGGGTGATTCTGCCTGGTCACAACCAAACCTTACCACTGTGACTAGTGCCATACATATTCACATCATCTTCATCGACGAAATTGATCTAAGAATCAGGCAGAACAAAAGTCTTCTTGTCCAAGATTCGTCTCCTGTAGGTGGCGTTTTCAGCAACTCAAACTATTTGTAGTAATCTAAATGTTGAAATGTTCGCATCTCTACCTTAAAAAAATCTTTAATCACTTATAATTTTTTGTTTATATGTTTTATTTTATCTGGATCATACATTTCACCCAAACTGAAAGTTTATTTTTTTTTTAAACAAATAAAACTAAAACTGTAATTAAAAAGAAGGAAAAAAAAAGACCGAACACCACACATGTCACCACACCCGTTGTAGAGGTCGTTGGAACCACATCTCAAATTGAGCCCTATCTATTTCTCGACCTCGCCATCACCTTATTTTTATGTTATCCTATGAAAAATCATTTGATATTTCTCGACATCGAAAGCAAACTTCCTATCCTTCACCCATTTGACGAAATATGAAGACGATATCATTCTATATAAGAACTTGGGAGTTATTATATATCTCTCTCTCTCTTTTTAATTATACAAGCCAAACAAATGTTACTAATAGGACAAAAAAGCGTGTTGATCTGTATAAATAAAACGAAGTATAATAGTATTAATAGTAATATATACATGATTTCTCTAGCTATAGTATTAATATACATGATTTTACCAAAAAAAAAATATATATACATGATTTCTCTAGCTTTGAGGATTCCTGTCCTAGAGCATAATCCATCCATAAATATGTTTAGCTGACGTTCTCAGCAATAAAAAGTAAATATTCTAATATATATTGTGATTCTATATTTAAATTTAATCTCTGTAAAAAAAACTAACTAATAAAAAATAGATATATGTGTCTCCAAAAATTTGCAGCAGCTTCTTAAAGTATCTGTTTTAGAACCTTGCAATGGAGAAGTTCTTATCCCTATTTTAAAAGAAAAAAAAAAAGCAAAAGGAAAATATAGAAACAATCAAATGCCTGACACTCTGTTCTATAATTTTGAAATTTTCTAACCAATATTTAGAAACCAAAAACAAAAGTGAGAGAAGTTCAAATTGTTCTATTCTATTAAGAAAGAAACCAAAACAAGATGAACAGGTGATGACTGGTGAAAGCTTTTTCCATTCCACAAAGAAATTATAACCAAAAAAAAGATATAAAATAGCACACTGTTTATTTATAATAATTAGATATATGCATGTTTAAATATGAGTTGTTTGTTTGTTGACCAAAAAAAAAGAAAATAAAAATACTCTTTTTATACAACACCATTTTTCTCAATCCTCTCTGTCCTTCTCGTTCTGTTTTATTTTTTTACGCAATGCTTCTTCCATTTCTCTTTTCTTCTCTCCTTCTCCGTCTATCTTCTCCGATCATGTCCCCTGATCCCTGATCGTCTCTATCATCTTCTCATCATTACTATAACACAACCAAACTTATCATTGTTATATATTCTCAGAAGATTTAGATCGATTTTATTAGTAATATATAGAATAAGCCGTAGAGAGAGAGAGATATGGAGAGTTCGTTAGGTTTCATGGCGGTTTTTGCCGTCTCAGGAAGCGTGGTGTTCGTCGCGAGTCAGTTCCACAAGCGTCTCCTTTCGGATTACTTGGACAAGTTCCAACTTGAAATCCGTATGTTAAACAAAATCCTATTTTTGATATTAACATTTATTTATGAACAATTTGATAAATTTTTTTTTTTTTTTTGCTTAAAAACAATTTGATAAATTGGAGGCAATTTTTTTTGTTTGTTTTAGGATCGCAGGAAAATGTGGTGATGAAGAAGAAGGTGAGATTCGCCGCGGATGTGGTGGAACCGTCAGGGAACAACAAAGAGTATCGCCGGAGACACTCCTCCAAGGCTAAATTCAATAGGGAATTGAAGATGGCGGCAACGGTTTGAAGTTTTTTGTACATAATTAGTTAAAATATGTAAACTATTCATTGGGTTTTGTGATTTGATTTTCATTATTAACTAATAATTGCCATTTTTACTATTTTCTTCACGTTTTGGGGTTTTGCCTGTTAATATTTTGTTTGTGTAAATACAAAATGTTATTGCTAATTGTTTTATTCTGTATATGGTATGAATACTGTATACATGCTGCGATGTCTCTTAATTACTAATTCTATTATTGTCAGCAACAATAGAGAATGATGTAAAATAGTCTAATACCGATTTATTGAAGTTACAATGAGTTAAAAGCATTTAAATAACCAAATATATTGATAAAATACTTAAAACACACAACCAAAAAACTTTTGATTTTACTGGTTATAATATGTCTAGCTGATTTTGTCAAATAAACTCATAAATTATCATGCTGATTACGTAAAATCTTCGTGTCGGATGGTAGTTTAATGATTAACGTTAAGTTATGGTTATTGGCTCTGTGCATAAGGACCATAACCGGTTTACCAAAAAAAAAACAGATCTCTAGTCTCTAAAACTATAACATACTTTCATAAAAATAAAAATATAACATACGGTTAAATTAAATATTCTGCATTAACGTATGAACGCAATATTTCAGAAAATCGTCAAACCTAAACTAATAATTTGGAAGTGTAGTGACAGCATGCCATTAAAGACGTGTTAAACATTCAAGATTTATCAAAGATTTTGGGGTATAAATAAAAACTGCTTAAATATAGGAAGTATATTAAGACCAATTAGTTAGAAAAGTTTTAAAAAAAAAAAAAAAATATTTACAATTTTATTCTCCCCATTAGACGGAAATTCAACTCTCTAAATACATGGTTTGAATCGAATAAAATTTTCCAATCCATACATAACGACACTAGCTTCGTTCGCCCACCACACTGACATGTTCCGCTAAAGCGCTCCACAACTTAGAATATCATTGACTGTTCTCAACCGACGATGATAACCACGAAGGGGTGAGGTTTACCTCGTTGCCTCAGATGTCGGTTTCTTATGTGTAATCGCCAGAGTAGCTAGCCTCTGAAGATCTCTTCAAACCCGCAATCTTGACTGACTTTAAGCTCTAGAGTAGTCGAATGGAAAAGAAACGGACTTACAAAGAAACCTGATCCACGAGCTACAGACCACGGATGTCCACGCCTACAACACGTATTCAGCAAGCAATAACCATCCAAAAAAAACAGGCTGCGATGTCAACAAACCCAATAATTCATGAGAGCTTCAGTTCCTGCAAGAGAAAAAGTTAGTCTGCTCTAAAGGTCAAGAGGCTTTCAAAGCACTGGGATGACTACACTTCAACTAAGTCCCCTCGTCGATCAAAGCCAAACTGACTCAACCAAGCTTCAAACCGACGCCTTGGCCCGGGTTGGAGACCCAACACCAGTCTCCCACATGCTGCTAGACCTCCAGTAGCTTGGGGAAACAACCGAAATCAAGCAACAAAACAGAGCTCGACAGAGCCACTTGTTAAGGTAGATGGACTTCCAACCTAAAACCAATTGGTCATAAGTGGATTGGCTCATCTATCTTATATAGTGCTTAGGATCCCTTCCAACAACCGATGTGGGACCTTTGTCCCTAATACGCCCCCTCGAGATGATGGCTCTTTGGCATCAATCTCGGAATGTTCGGGCAAGGATCGATGGGCCGACTTTGGGCTGGATCGATAAGGATCGGGTTGGACTGCGTGGATCATGGGCTCTGATACCATGTTAAGGTAGATGGACTTCCAACCTAAAACCAATTGGTCATAAGTGGATTGGCTCATCTATCTTATATAGTGCTTAGGATCCCTTCCAACAACCGATGTGGGACCTTTGTCCCTAATACCACTCACGAGTGACCCGCCATCAGAAACCAGATCCGTGAAGGGGTGAGAAAAAACAAGGAGAAGTTTAATAGGGCGAGGATAAACTACCATAGACGACAGCATCTCCCAGACCACACAAACTTCAAGCATTGAACCCTGGAGAGAACGTAACCATGCAGCCACCAGAAAACGCCAGGAACGCTCCTTCACGACCTGAAGTCCCCACTGAGGCGACAGCAAAACCGAGAGCCCATCCGAGACACCAAGGATAGTCTACACGGAAAGCCGTCGAAACCACTCCACACGGCAACCGCCGCTTACCTCCACATGGCCACTGCCGCTTACCTCCACGCCGCCACTCCGGAAGGCAGACAAACCAAATAAGCACAAAATTCAAGCATTGTATTTTAACTAATGTAAAGGGTACCGTAAACAACCCGAAAGGTCATCACATGCCAAAATTCAAGTGTGACTTACGAGAATATGGAACTGGTCATATGATTAATTAATAAATATTAATCCTCTGACGCTTATAACGTACGACATGCATATTTTGTTAAACCATACAATACCCAATATAAATATATTGTTGGGTGAATTAGCTAAATACCTTGTAGATACTGAGATACCATAAAAGAAGGAGAAAAAGTGGTAAATGGAAAGAGAGAGATAGAGAGAAATAAGGTATATATCTAATTTGGTGGGTTTGTGTGTATACACAATGCAAATACTCTATATTGTTATACCTAATAGTATTTGCACATGCCTGTAAATAAGAGTACGTGATGATAACGACTATGACGTCAGCATAAGGTAACTTTTTTTTTGTCACTGAAAGCAGCAGAAGGTAACTAAAAAGTAAAAACTAATCAATAGAAGGTTCTCATATGCTATGATTTTTCTCCACATATATTAGATTGGACCGCTAAAGTTTTAGAAGAACATGCCATGTTTTTATAAGTTTACTAGGATAAGACATGCGCCTTGCACAGGGTGAATATACGTAACTAAAATATAAAAGTTTAGTATTAATAAATATAAAATTTACATATAATTGTTTTTATATGTATTTGAAATTTTAGAATTTTGGAATTTTTAAATAATTATATATATATAGGACCAGAAACAATTGTAATTAGAACTGTAGATCAAATCTTAGAATTTAGAGCAAATTTCCTAATGTTTTTTAAGAAGCAGTTGGTAAAATAATTACATTTAAAATATATAAAGTTTCAAAACTAATTTAATATAATTTATTTATTTGTATAATAATATTAGAAAACTATATTTTTTACAAATTATTATTTTTAAATAATTTTATAAAAAAATTAAGTTAAATTTTAAATTATTTTTAAAAACAATATTTTAAGTTTGTCAAATACAAATAAAAAATTTAAAATTAATTATGGTCATGATTTAACATAACCATAATGATTTAAAAAATTAAAAAAATTAAAAATTAACAAATTAAAAAATTAACTCTGTTTTATATCATGATTTAACAATTTAAAAATTAATTATGGTTATGAGAAGTTTACGTTTACGTGTTAATCGTAATTATCTTCAATTTTTTCTTTTGTTGTTTTTTTCATATTTTGGTTATTACTCGATATAAATATCGATTTTGAAGTTTATTCTCATTTCGTTTATTTGTTTTGACCTAGAATTTAGAAAATACTTAAGATTTAAAATAATTAAAAAGATACATACTTAGGTTAAGATCTGCACTTTATGCATAATAAATATTTTATATTTATAATTTATTTTATAATTTTCTGCATATCATAAAATAATAAAATAATAAATATATATATTACATAACTAAGAAATCAGTCACTATTATGTAATAAATTGACGTATGCATATAAATTTAACTATCACTTTTGTTTATTCGCAATTAGCGTAAATAAATTAAAATAATCAATCTTATATATTGTATATGATATCAAAATAATCATCGACACATCCTTCGGTGCCGCCTGGGTTTCGTGTAAGATAAGAGGCTTCGGTCGCTGAAGCAAACAAAGCTTGTACATCATCAGATATCTCCTGCGTAACCATCTTTCTTTCTTCGTTTGTTGTTGAATTTCAGATGTTTCGTGTGATCGAATATGGAAGAAAGGTTTCAGGTAACGAGAAGAATCTAGGGTTTTCAGAGTGATCGAAATAAGGTAATAGAGTAAGTGAAAGAGATGAAATATATATAGAGAGAGTGGATTTCCCTACGCAGTAACTAAGAAAAGGAAATTTAGTAGCTTAGGATCCAAGCAACTTCTCTCAATTTCCTTTTTCTTCACCCAAATGGTAGTTTCGTCAACATATTCAAGGCCAGCTTCTCTCGCTAACCTGAATAAAAAATACAAAAGAAAAATTTAGAGGAAAAAGGATCAAAAGATAGATACAGATGGACGTCCTTTCTAGATCAACTGGAAGCAATATGACAAGTATTGCAATAGGAATATATCTTAAACTAAAGAGTTTAAAATTAAATACAAGTACACATTGTAATATGGTAATGCCATATTGCAATATCATACGTTTTGTTCAACACAAAAGGTGAGATCATGCAGCTATGAGAACCCACCTGATTAAGCTTGGGAAGTGAACCAAGCAATGGTCTTCACGAGGGTTGTCACCAGAAAATTACAGCTGATATCTCTTTCCAAAAAGCGGAAACCTGAGTACAAAATACCAAACAGTCTCTAATTTCAGAAAGGGAACTCTATGGCAAAATTATTTCTTTCAAAAAAAAATAGCTCACTTTTCTTCTTTCACTTCGAATGTGATCATGTAACTTTCTGACCGAATGTAGTTGGGAAAAACATTAGACTTTGTCCCTCCGCTTCTGTTGTGGTATGCTTCGACATTCTTCTGGTACTCTGCCCTGTTTTACCATAATGTTAAGAAGCGCAATATAAATCATTTGAACAAAATAATATGTAGGCAGTCAAATGTTGAAACTCTTAGTATTAATTCGCAGGAGACATTAGGACAAACAACAAATTACTTATTGGAGTTATCTAAAACAATCTCATCAAATTCAGTCACTCAAAAAAAAAAAAAAAACCAAGAATACACCCTTGCAATAAATCATATAAAAAGTACACCAGTAGAGAGAACATGGTGGCAGAGATATTGTGATAGGCTTCATACACCAGTAGAGAGAACATGGAGAACTAGATGCTAATGACAAATCAATCAGAATTCAGGAGTAACAATATATTGTTGTACCATATGGTAGACGAGTCAGGAGTAATCCCGAAAAAGTAACCACCCGGTTTCAGCAAACTTGCTACATTACTTAAGAGTCTTCTCGCAATCTCCTCAATTTCAAAGCATAACTAAAGCAACAAGATTTGTTAGAACCATAACGTTCTTGATAATGCTACATATCCACAAGTTAAAAAAGCAAAAACCTGCAGATGACGCCAACAGGGAACTAAATCAACTTCCCCAACTATCTTCTCTACCTTTATTTCAAGATCCTCCTGTTACAACACCACATGAAGCTTAAGAATTGTGCTCAACATTAGTAATAAAGATTGTAAAATCCTCACCTTGGAAGGATCAGCTTCAAAGAACTCCACATTGTAACTCTTCCTCTGACTCTCCCAAGCTTCTTGTACCCAAGATATCCCAGAACATGATGTATCTAACCATAAAGTTGCCAAACCCATTAATTACTCTTTGTACAGTGGTGTAAGGATGTGCGAGGATTTTGATTATGGCTGTTTTGGCGAAATCGAATAGGCGGTGGTGGTGACTCTGCTCCGGTTTCGGAACCGGGTAGCCGCTCATTTCTTTCTTCTCCGTCAGAAAATTTTGAAAATTACATATTTGGAAACACTCATTTATGTTCTTTCTTTTTGCTGATATACATTTTTGTAAACAAATAATTGATTTAAATTTAATAAATTTGATTTTGTTCATAAACTTAGTAAAGTTATTAAGTTTATTAATAAACTTGATTTTATTAATTAATTTTATTAATAAAATTAATTGATTTTAATGACTTGAGATTAAGTTTAATAAATTACAGATTGACTTTATAAAATCAAATTAAAATCAATTAAACCACTTTCACCATATAATTATTTACTTTATATATGTGACATGTATTAAATTTGGTGTAGCTGTTGATACAATTTTATAGATTGAATGATTTTCACCATATTAGAGTATTAGTTGAGAAACTTTTCTTCATATAAAAATTGTACTAATTTTAAAATAAATGTTATGAAAATTAATCACATGTGGATTTTATGAACCAGGGTCGTAGTTTTACAAGTAGCTAACAATGATACAACATCTCAAGAAACAATAACGGAGCAAAAGAAAGATTATTATAACACATTTCCATAAACCATAACACATTTCTTATCTTTAGATTAATCTTTTATCACGAATGAAATTGTTATTTATTTATTTGGTCAATCCATGCATTAATAATACTGGAAAACTAAATAAAATAATAAAATTCAGCCTTGAAAATTAGGTTTCCATATTGATTAAAGTATTTGAGAGAATTTCAATTATTTTTAACTCATCTATTATTGAACAAATGTTGCACACATGTTCGAGGGATTTATTCCTATTAGGGTAATGAAATCATCTAAACAGTTCGTTGCTACTTTTCTCGGTTATTGATATTATGTTTCTTTCAGTGATGCGCACAACGTGTTCGACAGAAAACCCCAACGAACGTACATGCAGTTTTGTCAATTACTTCCATTCTTCGATTCCTTGTTTCAGTTTCTACTCTGGAACTTCCTTACACCACTTGAACCATGCAGATTAGATTCGTTTTTAAATATGTTTAAGTTTACATATTTGTTCGCATTCTATTACCTTCTACCTTATTAAGAGTTTGATCCACTTGTTTCCTACTGACATTTATGATATTTCCATATGTTTCCTTATTTGATCTTTGAATATTTTGCAAGAGATTGCTCAAGCTTTGGCTGCTTGTTCGGCGGTTCAGTTGGAGTGGATCTTGGATCGCCTGCATCTTGGTGATGTTGAGTCGGTTCAGCTGTTCGGCAAGTCGCTCACCATGCCTCTCACCGAGCAGGAGAAGTGGACTTTGACGAGCAACCTGATCCGCCTCCCCTCTTCTGTTGGAGTTACCCGTTTCTGATCTTCTCTCAACCTGTTTCTCTGTCTAAAACTCTGTTTATTCCGTTTATTATGATTTGTGTGTAAAACTCTGTTTATTCCGTTTATTCTGATTTTTGTGTAAAACTCTCTTTATTTCTTTTTTCTGATTTGTGTGTAAAACTCTCGTTTATTCCGTTTCTGATCTCTCTTTCAACCTGTTTATCATATAGATATAGGTCATGGCTAGTTGTTTACACCAGTATTTAATCTCCATGCGATGATGAATCTGAAATTGATTATTTAGATGGTCGTAGCAAGTAGGACTGGGTTGTAGGTCAGATCCACTCGGCTAACCCGCCAACCCGTAGGTTTAATTTTATTTTTCTTGTCAAAAAAATTAATTTGCACAACCAGCGAATAGATAAATTTATATCTACTCCGTTTAATTTTATGGGTAATCCACGGGTTATATATATATATTTTTAAAAAGTTATTTAATTTAATTTTTATAAAAAACAATAAAACAATATATTTATAATAAAAAGTATATTTTTAAAAAAAAATCTTTTAAATTACCTTTATTTCAAAACAATTTTTTTACAAAAATACCTTTTTTTTAACAAAAAAAACTTTTTTAAAAAAGAAACAAAAAAAAATGCGATTAATGGATACCCGCGATTAAAAATCTACCAACCCGCATTCGCTCGCAGAAGATATTCATAGTCCGCATCCGCATCCACCAATTAATTTTCTCAAGTTGTTCAACCCGCACCCATCCTGTAGCGGGTCAAACGGACCGGGATCCACGGGTTAAGTCTCAGATTCCCGTAGTAGCAAGCTTTTCTCATCTTTTTGTTTCCTTAGTTTATAAAGTTGCTTGCTTGGTTCTTCGATGCTTGATCCTCTCGTGTGGCTTTTACTGTATACTAGTGTTGTGAACTGAATTCATATAACTTGTTACTGATTAGTCAATTTGTTACCTCTTTTAGTTCCCTCTCTAGTTCTAATTTATAAGCGGTGGAATGTAAGGCATCTCAACTTCATGAATTCATGTTTCTGCATGAGGTTGTTTTAGTGCAGCTCTTACATACATAATTGGTCTCACTCGTTTTATCTGTTTCTTTTGCACTATGCACTCAGAAAAAAAAATTGGCGTGCGCTATACAGTTTCAATGGGATCTAGGCAGTCGTTAAAATTTGGTGTGAACTTTAGACTGACATGGTATGCTAAAGATAAAAAAACAAGGCTGATGCTTAAAAAGAGGAGATTTAAAGAGTCAAGGAACAAGAGGAACAAGCCATGAGGGAGGCTCTAGGTCTGACACCAAAGTCCTCTACAAGACCACAAGGCAATCGCCTTGACAAGCAAGAGTTTAATGATCTTTTGAAAAGGGAATCAACAGCCGAGGACTTGGGTGCAGGGAAGGCTGATGCAGTGTGGGTTCATGGCCTTGGCTATGCAAAGTAAGTTCTTTTTCTGTGTGGCCATCTCTACTCTGTTGATGTTTTCGTTGGATTTATGCTTTACTAGTAGTTCACTTTCGTCCGTCATTCACATTTCGTTTTGCTACTATGTACTAGCACCCTTGCACCATCTCAGACAGATGATGCAGGGCCAGTACGTATGCCACCAACGATCAAAACTGTTGAAAATGTACCAAAAGAAACTGAGAGGAAAGAACTATCAATATATAATTACAATTTACTCCTATCTACTTCAACTTAATATCCTACAAAAAAAATTAGGAATGTTTTGTAACATCAATAGCAATACCTCTAACAACTAATTTTAACCTTTCGACATACAACTATTTTTAATATTTTTGTTTATACAAACATGAACAGAAAAGTCAACAAAAAACTTGAAATAAAGAGAAGATAAATCGATTTATCTCACTCATTAACACTAATGAATGACAAAGAATTTCAAGGACAGAGTCTCCAAACGCTTGTCGCTGCTCTTCTTTTTAATGTTGGTCCGCGTTTTCCCAATATATGAAGTTGCACTTATTCCTGGTCAAGCAAATCGACTCTGCATGTGTGGTCGTTTGTATAAAACTAGATCCGCCTAAAAGGTAAGATGGGCTTTCTGCCCAACTCAACATAAAAAATCGATACTCCCAAAGCCCAAATTGCACAGTTATATTAACGTTGAACATTAATAGCAACTGGACTAAATTCTACATTGCCCCACTCACTACCATCTTCATTCTATTTTAACCCATCATAAATTTGATTTTTTTTTTCTCAAAGTCTAAGTATGGTTAAAAAATCAATAACCCTTAATGAATCAGTATTATGTGTAATATGAATTACTAGAAACTACCTTGAATTACTTTGAATTACTTTGAATTACTAGAAACTACCTTAAATTACTAGAAACTACTATGAACAAAAAACAAACTACCTTGAATTACTAGAAACTACTACGAACAAGAAAAAAAAAGTGGGGCAGTGAGAAAAATGGTGGGATAGTTAGAAGACAAAATTACTAGAATGATACACAAAAGCTTGTATATGACTAGAATAGTATACATTTTCTAAAAATTACTAGAATGTTTTTAGACTCCTAGTAAATTACAATAAACACCCTTGTTTAATTTTGTTACTATTGATACAAATTTTAATTATTAAATCCACATCATAATTTGAAAATCCACGTCACTAACTAATTTGTGTCATCAGTTACTGGAAAATCAACAGTCCCATATCTCCGGTGAACAAAAAAAAAGTCTTAATGTTACATTCTTCTCCGTCACAACTATCGTTAAACCCTAACCGATTACGAAATCCCGAAATCATCTCCGTCACAACTAATACTCTCGTTTCAAACAGTGTTTCCGATATCTTAANACAAAAAAAAAGTCTTAATGTTACATTCTTCTCCGTCACAACTATCGTTAAACCCTAACCGATTACGAAATCCCGAAATCATCTCCGTCACAACTAATACTCTCGTTTCAAACAGTGTTTCCGATATCTTAAATCATCTTCGTCGACCTCGTTAAACCCTAACCGTCTCCGATATCATCTTTGTCGACATCCTCTTCTCTGCAAAAGTTTCGACGTAATCGTATCTACGACATCATCTTCTCATCTTCTCTGGTATGTTGTGCATGAGTTTGATTTACATCGTGTCTGAGTTATAGATTATGTTGTTACTGAGTTATTGTATAGTGTGACTGAGTTGAGTTTGATTTATGAAGTGGCTGAGTTATTGATTATGATCCGACTGAGTTATTGATTATGTTTTGGATGAGTTATTGATTACTCTAGCTGAGTTATACATTATGTTGTGGCTGAGTTATTTATTATTGATGATTTGGCTGAGTTATACATTATGTTGTGGCTGGGTTATTTATTATGTTGTTACTGAGTTTTGTTTCTATTGCGGCTGATTTATCTATATATGTGTTTTAGGATCAGATGGCTATTTCTGAAGATCAAGCACGGGA